GGGTAAGATAGTCCATAGACATGGGGGCATATCAATATGCTGATAATACCAGCTGCACATCTTTGCATTGGTTTGACTAAGTGATGCTGTTGATGTTCTTTCCCAGTATCCAAAGCTTGTAGGGCATGATGATGACAACCTGCCTTTTTTATACATGTAACTCAAGACGGTAAAGGTATGCAATACTCCTGCCTTCAGGGGTGAAATGCTCCCGGTTTGGACTGGATCGCCCAATCCGGTAGCGATGGAGGCGGGTGGTTCGGAGAACCGGTAGCAAAAATCCCTGCCCCACCCCACCCCCATGCCCAGCTGAGCCATGCAATCATCAGAGGCTTTTTTTTCTTTTAAAAACTGAACGCAACCACTTGTTTATTGGACCCGTGTCCTTCCTGGTTAGTACTGGCTTCCCGGGAAGTGACACAAGGCTGGCTCCAGGGGATTATAAACGCTTCGCTGAGTGAGGGTGACTTTCCCGCCACCTTGAAAGAGGCGGTGGTGAGGCCTCTCCTCAAGAAGTCTTCCCTGGACCCGGCAATGTTGGTAAATTATCGTCCGGTCTCCAACCTTCGCTTTGTTGCGAAGGTTGTTGAGAGTGTGGTCGCGCAACAGCTCCCCCAGCACCTGGATGAAACGACGTATCTGGATCCGTTCCAGTCGGGCTTCAGGCCCGGGTACAGCACGGAAACGGCATTGGTCGCGTTGGTTGATGATCTCTGGAGGGCTCGGGACAGGGGGTGCTCCTCTGTCCTGGTCCTGTTAGATCTCTCAGCGGCTTTTGATACCATCGACCATGGTATCATGCTGCACCGGTTGGAAGAGTTGGGGGTGGGAGGCACTGTGTTGCAGTGGTTCTCCTCCTTTCTCTCTGACCGGTCGCAGTCTGTGTTGACAGGGGGACAGAGGTCGACCCCGAGGCCCCTCATATGTGGGGTGCCGCAAGGGTCGGTCCTCTCGCCTCTCCTGTTCAACATTTATGTGAAGCCGCTGGGCGAGATCATCCGTGGTTTCAGGGTGGAGTACCATCAGTACGCTGATGACACCCAGCTGTACATCTCCACCCAGATCACCCCAACGATGCCCTTGAAGTGATGTCCCGGTGCCTGGAGGCCGTACGGATCTGGATGGGGAGGAACAGGCTCAGGCTCAACCCATCCAAGACTGAGTGGCTGTGGTTTCCGACGTCCCGATATAGTCAGTTGACGCCATCACTGACTATTGGGGGCGAATCATTGGTCCCCACGGAGAGGGCTCGCAACTTGGGTGTCCTCCTGGATTCACGGCTTTCTTTAGAAGAGCACTTGACGGCCATGACCGGGAGGATTTTTCATCAGGTTCGCCTTATTCGCCAGTTGCGTCCCTTTCTGGATCGGAACTCGTTACGCACGGTCACTCATGCCCTTGTCACCTCCCGCCTGGACTATTGCAACGCTCTCTACATGGGGCTCCCCTTGAGGAGCACCCGGAGGCTCCAACTGGCGCAGAGTGCGGCCGCGCGGGTGGTAATGGGAGTGACATGGCGTTCCATGTAACACCCCTCCTGCGCGAGCTGCACTGGCTCCCGGTGGTCTTCTGGGTGCGCTTCAAGGTTCTGGTTACCACCTTTAAAGCGCTCCATGGCTTAGGACCCGGGTACTTGCGGGACCGCCTACTACCACCAACAGCCTCCCACCGGCCGGTACGCTCCCATAGAGAGGGGCTCCTCCGGGTGCTGTCAGCCAAACAATGCCGACTGGCGGCCCCCAGGGGGAGAGCCTTCTCTGTGGGGGCACCTACTATCTGGAACGAGCTCCCCCCAGAGATACGGAGGATCCCGGATCTGCGCACCTTCTGCCGCGCCTTAAAGACCTTACTATTTCACCAGGCCGGCCTGGCCTAATTTTCCCCCTCTTTTATAAAAGATTTTTAAAATTTTAAATATCTTTTAGTATTTTATATATTCAATTTTAAATTGGTTTTAAAAGTTTGGGGTTTTAAATTTGTCGGGGCCAAAATTATTTAATTTGATTTTATTCTATTTTTTAAATTTTGTATTGTATGTGTTTTTATTGTTTGGCTGTGCACTGCCCTGAGTCCTTCGGGAGTAGGGCGGTATAGAAATCTAATAAAATGAAAATGAAATGAAATGAAAAACATTTTTTCTACAACCTCTCAGCCGAAGAGGTTGTAGAAAAAATGCTTTTAAAAGCGTCTGACGATCCCAGCTGAGTTGCCTGATCATGCATTTTGCACTATGATGTCACGTGGTTTGCTTTTCATTTATTTGTCTATCCCATATGTGGCAGTCTTATGCTCCAGATATCTAAGAAACTGTATGGTAAACAGAATAAAATATAATACATGACATTCCATTAAACAAAAAAAGAAACCAAATCAGATCCCCAATAATAATAAAAAAAGTCATTTCCCACTTGCCCCATGTGCATATGCCTGTACATTTTCCCCTTTTCTCTGGCAATATATAAGGGGCAATAGAAAAGTAGATAGAATAGAATAACAGAATTGGAAGGGACCTTGGAGGTCTTCTATTCCAAACCCCTGTTCAGGGGAAACCCTATACCATTTCAGATAAATGGTTGTCTAATCTCTTCTTAAAAACATCCAGTGTTGGAACATTCACAATTTCTGGAGGCAAATTGTCACACTGATTAATTGTTCTGTCAGAAAATTTCTTCTTAGTTCTAGGTTGTTCGCTCCTTGATTAGTTTCCATCCATTGCTTCTTGTCCTGACCTGTGATCCTAATAATATATCCCAAACTGTTGGAAGCTCTCACCCAGCAGCTTCATGTAGATGTTAAACAGGAGCAGAGAAAGCACAGAGTCATGAGGCACCTCACAATTTAGGGGTTGTGGGCTGGACTTCTTTCCTTTGAATACTGACTGAAATCACCTCCAGAAGGAAGAGGAAAATGGATACAATATAGTATTGCCCAACCTCAACTTGAGCTGGTCCAGAAGAATAACACGATCAATTCTGAGTAGAATTTGCGCTATATTCAGTGATTCCAGAGAAGTTAAAGCAACTTAAGGGTCCTCCTCTTGTAGTTCCCTGTCTTACTTCATTTGGCAGGAGCATTTAGAAAACAGAAGGATCTGGGAACTCCATAAAGGAAAATGAATTCTTTGAGATACTCTTTTCTCATGTTTTTCAGGACTTCAGTTCAATAATATAACATACTATAAAGCAGTGGTGAAATGTAAAATTTGTTACTACCGGTTCTGTGGGCGTGGCTAGGTAGGGTGGTTATGTGACTGGGTGGGCGTGGCCAACTTTTTTTTTTTACTTTTAAAAGCATTTTTTCTACAACCTCTTCGGCTGAAGAGGTTGTAAAAAAATGCTTTTAAAAGCCTCTGACGATCCCAGCTGAGTTGCCTGATTGGCAGAGGCTTTTTTTTCTTTTAAAAGCCTCTGATGATCCCAGCTGAGCTGTACGATCATCAGAGGCTTTTTTTTTTTTTACTTTTAAAAGCATTTTTTCAGCCGAAGAGGCGATCCGGTCCGAACCAGGAGCATTTCATCCCTGCTATAAAGCCACTGAGAGATCAAAAACAGCCAGGATAGCTATACCACCCTAACTTTAGGGTCCATCATTCCTTTTTTTATTGAAATACTTTTTGGGGAAAGCTTGCATCCTTTCTCCTATTAAGATGATTTATCCAAATTTGAGTCTGACATACATGGCTCCAAGACAGAACTTCAACTTTTGTTAAGTTTTTAAATTGTTGAATTGTTCTTTATTTTTATTTGGAGCATAAATAGAGGTCTCCTGTTTTGTCTTTATTGGTCAGTCTTTATTGATTTAACTATTTGTGAAAGAGATAATTTAATATACTGTAAGATTTGTGGAAGCTGAAGCTTCTCTATGCTGTATTTGTAATTTTTCATAATGGATTTCTTACCCTATAGTTAGATCACTTGCTATAAGCTACATGACCAAAATAAATACAAGTGTAAGGTTATATCACAAGTGTTAATAGAACAAACCCATTACTATGTCATTTAAATAAATAGCAGTTGTAGTAATAAATGGTAGCCAAGAAGACAATTTATCAAGTGTCTCTTTTTAATATTGCTGTGTAATTTCTGCTTTGCTTTAATTTGTGGGCTCCAGCATTAAGCAACTTTAGGAATAAAAGGGATAATTTTTTTAGAAATATCACACTTGCTTGGCAGCACTTCTCTCAATGAAGACTTTTAAAGTGTGTCAGGTCTAACTAAAATATTATATAATTCTAATATGTTGTATGGGTATGTAGCAGATATGGAAGAATAGGTGGCCAATTGTGTTGCACAACTGTTACTTATCCTAATTATGTCCACATCAACTCATGATCCTTGTCTGTATGAAATATAGCTGGTAGAGCTGATTCTTGGTGTCAGCCACTCTGATACCCTGTTTCCCCAAAAATAAGACATCCCTGATAATAAGCTCTCCCCAAAAATATTTAAACGCAGAGCTGGAAATCAGGTAAGATGGCAAGAGGAGCCCTGTCTTGTTCCACACACCCCATAATAATAAGACCTCCCTGAAAGTAAGGCAAGTGCTTATTTTGGGGTTCAAAAAATATAACACAGGGTCTTATTTCCGGAGAAACACGGTAGATATAATTCAAGGAAAATTAAATGTAAGTGATGTAGAAAGAGAGTTGCTTCTTGAAAAATTAAATAGCAATAGCAATAGCATTTGGACTTATATACCACTTCACAGTGCTTTACAGCTCTCTTTAAGCGCTTTACAGAGTTAGCATATTGCCCCCAACAATCTGGGTCCATCCTTCTGAGGTGGAAGGCTGAGTCAACCTTGAGCCTGGTGAGATTTGAACTGTCAAATTGCAGGCAGCCAGGAGTCAGCAGAAGTAGCCTGCAGTACTGCATTCTAACCACTGCGCCACCATGACTCATGCCATAGAACCCTAACCATAAATGCCATAAAACCGTAACTCAGACAGCAAAACTCTTTACAATAAAAAGGCCAATGGAGCCAAAGATTCTCCATTCTCACTGAGTAGAATTTGCACTATATTCAGAAATTCCAGAGACGGTGGGGCTCCTCTTGTAGTTCCTTCTTGTAGCCTTACTTCATTTGGCAGGAGCATCCAGAAAACAGAAGGATCTAGGAACTCATAAAGGAAGCGGAATTCTTTCAGGTACTCTTTTCTCATGTTTTATAGCTTCAGTTCAATAATATAATTTTCTGCCTTCAAGTCAGTCTTGACTTCTGGCAACAGTCTGGACAAGTCCCACAGTTTTCTTGGAAGGATTTTCAAAATTGGTTTGCCATTGCCTTTTTCTGAGGGCTGAAGAGATAGTGAATGGCCCAAGGTCTCCCTCTAGGTGGCTTTGGGTCTAAGGAGGGACTAGAACTGAAGGGGCACTTCACTCATGCCTTCAGTGAAATGAAACATCCCTTTGAAGATCTGATGGCATTTGTTTTTGGTATCTTAATCTTAGCTGTTTGCTTTGTTTTCTGAAACACTGAAAAAGGAAACAGAAAAGTTAATTATCAAGGAATATTAGTGCTGCTTTTGGAGCCAGTGCCCCATTAGTTTTCCTTCAAAGAGATAATATTAATTCAAAAGTAGTAATGAGCTTTTTCTGCTGCACAATTAATCCATTACAAATTCAGTCATTAATTTAGATTTCTTTGGGAGGGAGACAAGCAAATTGGAGAAAAAAAATCACATCACTACACTTTTTCCTGAAACCTTCCAATGATAAAAAAAAATTGTAAATGCGAATAAATATATAAAAACATTTGGCACTATCTATATGCATTAATTGTTTTTAATTAAAGTGATAAATAGGGATAGCTATCTCATAAAATGGATTCTATCCAACAGAAAGTTCCTGAAAGTAATGAAAGCAGCATGCAGTTTAGGTTTCTGAATGATAAAATCTCCTTTGAGTGGAGCCACGTTCCTGGGTGACTTTGGTGACAGGTTTTACTGAGATATCGATTCAGATGTAATATAGGAGATCTGTGTTTGGATTTCTCAGTGTCTTTTGCTTTCCTTCAAAGTAGGACAGGTGGCTATTGATTTGACTATGGATAGTCCATAATTATTGAGTGTGAAAATTTAGAGAGAGAAGAAGAACCAAGATCATATGTGTAGGTTTAGGAATTCAAGGAGAGTCAGAGAATGCCAACACCTAAGGGTGCCACCAAGGAGGATTGCCAGTTAGGGAGATCATAGTATTAGAATGTCCTTACTGGCCTCATCATCCTCTTCAGACTAACCAAATGATAATAAGAAAGTAAGAAGCATTTGCAGAATATCAAAATGAGGTCCAGAGTATTTGTCTCACATTACAACAGATATTTTGAATCTTGCTTGTGAGAAGAAATAAGTTTGGAGGTTAAATCAGGAAAACAGGGTGGGATAGCAATCTCGTCTAGCTCAGACCATAGCCATTGCAGAAGCCACAATTGGGGGAAGGAGAGTAGTGAAATCCAATTTTTTTTACTACCGGTTCTGTGGGCATGGCTTGGTGAGTGTGGCAGGGGAAGGATACTGCAAAAGCCCCATTCCCACCCCACTTTAGAGGAAGGCTATTGCAAAATATCCATTCCCACCTCACCCTGGGGCCAGCCAGAGGTGGTATTTGCTGATTCTCCAAACTACTCAAAATTTCCGCTACCGGTTCTCCGAACTGCTCAAAATTTCCGCTACTAGCTCTCCAGAACCTGTCAGAACCTGCTGGATTCTGGGAAGGAGAAGGAAGGAGGTTGCCGTGTGGCATAATGGAGAGCTGCCCATTTACAAAAAGCTTTTCTTCATACAGCAAGTGGGTCAGGTACAGTGGCAGTCAATTCCCCAACTGAACCATCTCTAAGATAAACAACAGCAACAACATCAGGCATTATACAGCATTCGTTTTGTCCAATGGACTTATGACAGCCTTGAGTGGTGCAACTAAAGTGGTGGACTAAAGTGCTGTTAAGTAGCACTTAGCTGCCAGCTGCCTGTAATTACTGCGAGTTCAAATCTCACCAGGCTCAAGGTTGACTCAGCCTTCCATCCTGCCGAGGTAGGTAAAATGAGGACCCGGATTGTGGGGGCAATAAGCTGACTTTGTATAAAAAAGAACACCACTTAGGGGGGACTAAAAGCCCTACTAAGCAGGTATATACAAAAGTGTGAAGGCTATTGCTTAACATATTGTAAGCCGCCCTGAGTCGCCGGAGAAGGGCGGCATATAAATCGAACCAATAAATAAATAAATAAATAAATAAATAAATAAATAAATAAATTTATATTTAGGAAATTTCACTTAATTAACAAAGCAAATCTAGTAAGGAACTCACTCAGAGCCCAGCAAGACTAATATTATGCATGCAGAAGATTGAAATAATACATTAGGACATTGTTTCCAAACTAGGCATAGGATATGAAATCATTATGCCTCAATTAATCATCTTCATACTTTATCCATACTTTAGGGGTAAGGAAGAGACACAAAGACATCTGAAAATCTAGGTCTGTCACACAATGTTTTTTTCCACTTACTTTATTTGTAGACAAATAGGGGGAAAAAAGCATAATATGTGTAAGTGTATATGACCTTTGGTTTTGTTTTTAAAAAATGTTCACATTTTACATAGACAATAAAAATGAGCTTCTTACATGCCGATAAAGGAGAATATTTGTAGTTCAGGGTTGAAATGAGGGCTCCTTGGTGCCCCCTGAGCTTGGTTGTTTTCCTGCAGGTGTTTCATTACCCAAACTAGGCAACATCATTGGTGCACTTTGTTTGGGTAAAGAAACATCTGTAAGAAAACAACCAAAGTCAGGGAGCACCAAGGACCTTTCACATCTTACGTGGATTCATTATTAACTTTGAATGCATACTATTTTATAAATCTATTTTTAACTGATCTTTTATGAGTGCAAAATTATTTTGACTAATATTAATATTAAAAATTAATAGCATTTTGCTTTATTACAAGGATTGCCTTCTTGTAATTAATTTGTAGTTATTTTTGGTAATTTGCTCCAGCCAATTTTACAGTAATTTGTTCTTTTTATGTTCTTGTTTGCGAGGCACTGGTTGCAATCAGTGGCATTAAAAGGAAATGAATTATTTTCTTTAAAAATAATAAATTATAAACCAATTAATTGAAAAACACGAGTAAAAGGTGTTTTCCTGTTTCAGTATACATTTCCAATCCAAAAAAAATATTAAATGGGGCAATCACACTTACCGTAATATATATATTTAAGACCAGTTGGAATTATCTTCACATATTTGTCAAAGGTATTGAACTTTGTCTTTCCTGCTCTGAACAGATGTTATGTCCAGTAGCATAGGAAATATTTAGAAAAACAAAGAAAAAACGTGAGTCCATATGCTGCAATTCTAGTTACAGCAAATGAACCATATTTTATTGGTGCTAGGAACAATTTGCTTGGAAACACGTTTAGTTCAACTGAATGTTTTACCTGTGATGAACCCAATTTCTGCAGGTTTTTAAAAAAAGTCTAATAATTTATTGCTTGAACCTGCTGAGGCCTGTTGATGTACTTTTGAAAAACTGGATTTTTCATGGCATGAATGAATATAGTTTCTATACCTGGATTTGTTTAAACTTATATTAATAATTATATATAATTATATAATGATAATTATCTTAACCTTTAAGAAAGACTTAAAGGTGCTTTATAGTTCATATTAAAATAATCTGTTACACCAGAGAATTCATGCCATTCTAATATTTGAGGGGAGAGGAGTAGGTCAACCTATTTTCCAAGCACCTGAAGGCCAGACAAGGAATAATGGATGGAAACTGATCAAGGAGAGATTCAACCTAGAAATAAGGAGAAAATGTGACAGTGAGAACAATGGAACAACTTGCCTTCAGAAGTTGTGGGAGCTTCATCACTGGAAGCTTTCAAGAAGAGGTTGGACTGCCATTTGTCAGCAATGGTGTAGGGTCTCCTGCTTGAGCAGGGGGTAGATGAACCTTTTTGGCACGAAGTGCCCAAACCAGAATGCACATGTGCATGCATGTACACTGGCCAGTTGGTCTTTGTGTGCTCTAGCGCGCACAAAGACCAACTGGCCGGCGCGTGTGCGCCAGGGGTGGGTTCTACTTATCTTTACTACTGGTTCGCAGTGGGGCCATGCGTGCTCTCTCACTTAGCTCGTGCGTGTGTGCTCTTCTGCACATGCGCAGAAGCATTTTGATGACATCAGAGTCAGTGGGCGGAGCCTCCTACCGGTTTTACTACCGGTTCTATAGAACCAGTGTGAACTGGGGGTAACCCACCACTGATGTGTGTGTGGTGGAAACCCGAAGACCACGTAGCCAGTGCTGGTCTTCAGGTTTCCGGTGCTCTGGCACATGTGAAGACCAGCTGGCCGGCGCACATGTGCACACCAGAAACCAAAAGAGCAGCTGGCAACAGCGTGCGTGCCCACAGAGAGGACTTGTGTGCCATCTCTGGCACGCGTGCCATAGGTTCGCCATCACGGACCTACAAGGTCCCTTCCAACTATTCTGTTCCGTTCCGTTCCATTCCGATAATCATATTAGTCACATTTTTGGAGCAGTCAACCATCTGCACTAAAGAGGAAGCTCTGATTACATGGTCATGGTCATGGTCTTGGTGTATTTTGTTCCTCTTATCAGCACTTCTGATCCCTATCCAACAGAAATGGGACCACAAGAAGGGGTTAGCTACAAAGAAGATTCACCCTTGGGAACTATGATGATGACACTCCTTGGGATTTTATTAGTTTTCATTTGGAAAAATCTGTCTCAGAGATGCCAGATTCTGAGCTATACAGGTTTTACAGGCAACAATTAACATCTTGATTTATACGTGGAAGTCTACTGGCAATCAGCCATGCTGAGTGGATGGACCCAGTTGCTCTTTGGGCGTCTGCATTTAGGATCATTTACTGTTTCTAAAATGAAAGGAGTTATGGAATCCAATCACAAAAGTAATGGCCTTGATTATAGCGAAGCACATACAGTTTTAATAGAGCCGTGGTGGCGCACTGCTTAGAATGCAGTATTATTGCAGGCCAGTTCTGCTTACTGCCGGTTATCAGCAGTTCAGCAGTCTGAATCTCACCAGCTCAAGATTGCTTGTCCTTCTGAGGTCGGTAAAATGAGGACCCAGATTGTTGGGGTCAATATGCTGACTCTGTAAACTGCTTAGAGAGTAAAGCACTGTGAAGCGCTATATACGTGTAAGTGCTATTGCTATCATTAAGAATGGAAATTATAATTTCCTTTTATTATATATTTTATGAGGGTCATATATGTAATCCTTGAATTTTGCAAAAATTGAATTGTTATACAGAATGGAGAGAGAGCCACTTCAGTATAATGCTTAAGGCACCAGGCTACAAACTGGGAGACCAGAAAATAGTGTGCAGCCTTAGCAATGGTATGCTGGAACCAGCAAATACTGACTGTCAAGTATATATGGATGATGTTTTCTGCATTTTTCTTTTAGTTTATAGATCTTTCCATGTACATTTATCACATCAATCTTCTTATCCTATTCAGATAATCATCAGATCTATTCAGCTCTGGCATAATCTTATTATGATAATGATTTTGTATTTAATAATATAATATTCTCCTGAAACCATTTTCTGGAATTAGTTTCCCTTTTTGTTTTTTAATTAAATATAGCCCATTTTAATTAAATATAGCTCATTTCACAGTCTACCCGAATGAGTGTTTCCTATAAATCATTGATTTGTAATGCAGATTGTGCTCCTAGTTTATCTGGGATGGTATCCTCTAATCTAATCAGTAATTTCAGGTCTCCAAGTATGGACCCATGAGACTGCTCTTGGTAAGAATGACTCAGGACCAGCTATTTCTTTCCAGATGCTCTGAAAAAAAAACATTATTAAAGTTACTAAAAAAGATTTTTTAACTCGAATGTCAGCATGCCTACATTGGAAGTGGAGGATGAAATGCATTAACTGTACTCACATTAACTCAATTATTAAAAACCAGTTTTCAGGGTTCTTACAAAGCACTAAATTATACATGAACCAAACAGTTTGGTTAGCAAAAAAACAAAAAAAAAATTGATAAAAAAATTCTAACCAAAGTTAAAACAAAATATGCTCAGCGTGTTGTATCAATGAAATCCCAAGCTCTTTCTCTGACCTGGTTAATCATCATTGTGATATGAAGCCTACTAAAGCGATGCCTCAAGAAAACCTATGGATTTATGCAATCATGTACTTCCAGTTGACACATTCAAACCACCAAGAAATCTACATCAACCTAGAGCTGATTTGGATTTCATTTTCTACCAGTAGGTACAGTTAAAAAGGGAAGTTCCAAACTGGGGAATAAATGAGTTAAAGAAAAACTGCTTCTAATCTACTTGTTGGTCCAAAATGGTTTTGAGATAATATTTATTTACCTTAGATTTCCATTTTCACCCATCACTCTTCTTCTGTAGTATCTGTTCTGGTAGAATATAATGTGAACATGATTTCTAACAATTTAAATGCAAGCATACATACTAAAAAATCAAATGTTATTAACCATTTCAAGCTGAGCTTCCTACAATTAGTGTGATTTAAGCGTGCTTAAAACTGCTATCTTAAATCAATTGCAATGAGTTGTGGTTGTGTTTAATTTTGCCTTTAAATCACTTGGTTCATATAAAGAGGGGTATAGAAAGACTTTTCTGAGTGGCAACAGAATTAATTACAATTAATTGCATTAGTGAACATTTCATGTGCAATTGGACTTATGAAAATCAGCTGGTGGACTAGGAGTCCTACAATAAGCCTTGCACACAGGTAAAGGAGATTATACTTCGACAATATTAAGAATGATAATAAATGCTTTGCAAATGCTCAAACTTGCCGCTTGCTGGAGAAGAAAGAATAGGACAGCACAAATTTGATAAAATTGATAGACTGATTATGTACCATTCAGTTTCGGCTATTTAGTAATCACATAGACAGACCTTTCGGCAGCCCTAGTCTGCCCCTTCAAGTTTTCCAATAATGTATTCATTGCCACTGTAATCAAGTCATCTACATTAATGCTAGTTATCTTTTTTCCTTTTCTTCCACTTTTCCCATTATCTGTTTTTTTGTAACGTGCCCAAAATGTAATTGGTGTTACCACCATGTCAAGCAATATCATGAAAGGCCAATCATTACCTCAGGTTTGTCTGTGACTTAAGAAAATTGCCTGTGGAAGAAGTTATCTCTCCATTTGGTGTAACGTAGGGTACTCTTGTTTTTATTTAAAATAAATATTTATTTAAATATAATGAAAACAGGAAAATTTTTCTATATTTCTAACAAAATATAAACATTAGGTTCTTTCTCTTCACATCCTCATATGCTTTTAAAATGGTCCTAGGTACATTTTTAAGATGGCTGTTGCTAGCACATTATATTCATCTAAGATCACACTGCCATTGCTGAAGTGATACTTCAGTCCGTGGTGGCACAGCAATTCCCTCAATTCCTGGAGGAAACAGACTACCTCGATCCTTACCAATCTGGTTTCAGGCATGGTCACAGCATGGAAACGGCATTGGTCGCCCTAGTAAATGATCTCTGGCGGGCCAGGGATGGGGGCTGTTCCTCCATCCTGGTCCTTTTTGACCTCTCAGCAGCTTTTGATACCATCGACCATGGTATCCTGCTGCAGCGGCTCAGGGGGATGGGGTTAGGAGGCACTGTTTTACAGTGGTTCTCCTCCTATCTCTCTGGTCGCCTGCAGTCTTTTTGGGCGGGGGGTCAGGGATCCTCCTGGAGGCCTCTCACTTGTGGGGTGCCTCAGGGATTGGTTCTTTCCCCTCTGCTCTTTAACATCTACATGAAACCTCTGGGTGAGATCATTTGTGGTTTTGGGGTGAGGTATCATCAATATGCTGATGATACCCAGCTTTACATCTCCACCCCGACCACCCTAGGGTTGCCCTTTCCGTGATGTCCCACTGCCTGGAAGCAGTGCGGGTTTGGATGGGGAGGAACAGACTTAGACTCAACCCTTCCAAGACTGAGTGGCTGTGGATGTCGGCATCCTGGGATCTGGAGGTTCCATCCTTAATGATCGAGGGAGAAACTCTTGCCTCCTCCGATAGGGTCCGCAACTTGGGCGTCTTCCTGGATTCTTGGCTGTCCTTAGAGGACCATCTGACGGCCGTAACCAGGGGGGCCTTCGCACAGGTGCGTCTTGTGCGCCAGTTGCGCCCTTTTCTAGACCGGGATGCCCTCGCCACGGTCACTCATGCCCTCGTTACCTCTAGGTTGGACTACTGTAACACGGTCTACATGGGGCTGCCCTTGAGATGCGTCCGGAGGTTCCAGCTAGTCCAGAACACAGCTGCGCGGGTAGTTACAGGGGCGTCTAGATACTCCCATGTAACATCTCTCCTGCGTGAGCTGCACTGGCTGCCGGTGGTGCTCCGGATACATTTCAAGGTGCTGGTGCTTACCTATAAAGCCCTTAATCGCTTAGGCCCGGGGTACTTGCAGGACCATCTCCAGCCGCTCTCCCACCGTCCTGTGTGCTCTCACAGAGTTGGCCTCCTCAGGGTGCCGTCGGCCAAACAATGTCGGCTGACGGCCCCCAGGAGGAGAGCGTTCTCTGTGGGAGCCCCGACCCTCTGGAATGGATTGCCCACCGAGCTCAGGACAGCCCCCGACCTTCTTTCCTTCCATCGCAAGCTTCCGTCAACTCAACTGATCCATTTGGGGGTACACTGTCATAATTTTAAACTGTTTTAATAGGGTTGCTGATTTTAATTTTATTTCATTGTGATTTGTATTGGAATTTGTCATTTTGTAAGCCGCCTTGAGTCCCCAGGGAGAAAGGCAGCATACAAATCGCAATAATAAATAAATAATAAATAAATACAAAGTCTGTCTGCATTATTGTCATTTTGGTACCACAATGGTTGGATAACTGTAGAAGACACTATAAATTGCTAGTGTAGGAATGGCCTAATTTTATGATAGTAATGTGCAGGGAATACAGCATTTGATTCAGAGTGCTTTGGAAAATATGCTGGTGCAATTTGAATAAATAATTTCAGTTTAGAGCAGGATTGATGGCCTTCATAGCTTATTGTGGAAAAAACATTTTTTGCAGTTAAATGAGTTTAGGTTTGAGGAATAGTAGAAATTTCTAGGACTAATGTTATAGAAACTGTCAGTTTCAGAGAAAATAATTTTTATTTTAGACAAAAATTCCTTCAACTTTTCTTTTTGTTTTTCTTTGGGGCTAGAATTAAAGGATATTTACTAAGAAGCATTACTTAGGCAAATAGTTAAGCAAACATTTTTTATTTAAAAATGACAGATGTTTCTTTATGGGAAGTACTTTAAGTGAAACCCCTAAACTCTTCCAGTGATCTGCTTTGGCCATTTGGAATGACCATTGGGAGAGTCTAAATATTATTTATATATTTAAGATCAAATCAGACACATCTGCATGATAAAATGCTGGAAGCAGAGGTATGCTACAGTATTTTGATGCTAGCTGTACCCCTTTCTTATATGATAACACAATGCTGCTTTCATAATTTGGGACCTCCCCCTCTCCATAGATGTCTCTGAATCAATTTTTTTTCCTTATTTCCCTGAAACATGAATTATATAGGACTAAAAACTAGGAAATGTCTCAGAAGATGACATGGATCAGGTGAAGAATGGGACATTTGAAGGGCTCTAAATCATCTTTGTTCTCAAAGAGTTAGAAGTTGAGACTTAAAATATCAAGTGGGTATCATATACTCTTCATAACCTTTTGATATTCTCAAGGTTGTGCACTGTTGTTGTGTCATAAATAGCAAAGCACTGTGTGAGAAACTAGACATCTGGAGCTTGAGTCATGGCAACTGGCCTTCTTTTCTTTTTGGTTTGAAACATTTTACTACTTATTCAAGAATCGTCTTCAGTCTGAGCAAGTTGGTTAGGGGACCCCACATATGTCTTCCATGCTGGTTTCATTTCTTACTTAATCTGAATAGGCTCCTTAGATGAGTAGACAGAGATTCATTAAGAGTCAGTGTTCCTAAATCTTTTCTCCTAGATGGATAGTTAAATGTTCTCCTAGGTGAAGCTGTGATTGATTTTCTTGGGGACTAATGCAAGAGCAGCAAAATAATGGGGGACAAGTTGTGTTTGAAGCCTCCATCACTATTGAGGAAAGAATTTTCCACTTTGGTATAAATGTATTCCTTCACTAGAAATATACTATATTTTTCAGAGTATAAAATGCACCTTAGTTTTTGGGGAGGAAAATAGGAAAACAAAATTCTGCCTGCCTGGTGTTCATCTGGCTAGCATCCTTAGTCTGGTCAGCTTCAGCACATTAGTTCGCTGGTTTTGAGCGCGCACACTTTTATCCCCTGGTTGGGGATAAAATACATCTTCTAAAGCACAGCTGATTATCAGGAAGCAGCAATGAGAAAAGCAGGCAAAGCGGGCAAGATAGCTTCACTCGCTAGTGCCTTGTTAGGGCTGGAAAAGAGCTTCTAAAGCACAACTGATTAGCAACAATGAGAAAAGCAGGCAAAGCAGAAGATCGCTTCACTTGCTAGCACTTCATTAGGGCTGGAAAAAAGCTTTGAAAAAGCTACATTCAGAGTATAAGATGCACCCAAAATTTCAGCCTCTTTTTTTGGGGGGGAAGTACGTCTTATACTCTGAAAAATAAGGTACTTTGCAGTCACAGTGTTTGTTGACCTGTCTATTTTTTTATGTGGTATGTTTTGTCAATGTTTAAAAATGCCTGCCCAATAAAGTTTTGAACTAATCCAGCACCCAGACTTCAGAAGTAATCTATAAATTGGAGTGCAAAATGATTACACACTTGTGGTACTCATATCAAAAATATGAGATGGTCTGGTTCAGGGGTGGGTTTTACTTACCTTTACTACCGATTCGCAATGGGATCGTGTGTGCGCGCTCGCTTCGCTCGCGGACACACCTCACTTCTGTGCATGCGCAGATTGCTTCTGATGATGTCAGGGTCAGTGGGCGGAGCCTCCCGCTGGTTTTACTGCCAGTTCTATAGAACCGGTTTGAACCAGGAGCAACCCACCACTGGTCTGGTTTCTGAAAGAAATTGTAAAACAAAGTATCTGCAACTAAGGTCTATCCAGTCTGTTTAACACACATCCAGTCCACCATCTCTCTGCATAGTTGATTCCACTCTTAAACTATATTATCAATATTTTTTTCTTGACATTCATCCAGAATCCAACTTCCCAAAGCTTAATATTTTATTACATCTTCCCCATTTTGGTAAATCAAAAACATGTAGCCAGACCTAATTACCTATCACTAAATTAATTTCAATCCTATTAGTTGCTATTTGAATATGTACCAAGTTTTTTTTTTGTTCCACTGTTCTTATAAAATATCTGTGTACAAATGTTATGGATAAGAAGTAAAAAAAAGACAATTTTGAGCTACTGAATGAAACTCCTACTACAGATTTCAAAAGAACATAGAATGCATGTATTTAATATAACATCTTACATGAAGTGTAATGGAAGCAAGAAAACAAAGACAACTTTGAGTTGAAAATCAATTTTGGTAACTCAATGGATACAGCCATGCAGTTTACTTGGCAATAATAAAAATGGCCTGACGTTGTCTTTTTCTAGATTCCCCCCTCACCAATTTTCCAGTCAAAGACTGTAGTTTGGGGATTTCCTGGTAGTGTCTCGGCCAAGTGCTACTAAGAAGCTAGTTCCAAACCCAGACAAGATAGGCCACCTGCTGCCACCTTCTGATACATTCAAAGGGAAAATAAATGCAAAGAAAATAGTAGAATTAAAAGGCAATGAAAACATAGTTTAACCACTTCTGCAACACTTTTATTCTGCATCCCTGAAACCTTAGGAGCAGATGAGTATGTGTGAGTAAGGGCTAAGAAGGGATACAGTAGGCAAACCTAGCTAAAGATGTCTAGGCAAAATTCCAACCCATCCAATCCTGAATCAAAACCCTGACTCCTGCATGTTTTCCTTGATGGTTGGTGGCCTACTAAGGGGGAGCAGCAGCAAACCCAGAGTTTAAGAACAAATCACCTTGCCTGTAGTGACTAGCTAATCACAGATCAGGTCAGCACAACTTGGCAGTGACTTGGGACAAATGCTGCAGAGGAAGGATAAGGTTGGCAATGGGTTACACACATTTTATGCCAATTTTCTTTTGCGCTAACACAACAAAGAGAGGATAGCACTTTAATTTAGTAGTGAGAAATACTCTTTGAGACGAATTCTTAAACCCATGTTTTATGTATGTTTTATTGAGTTCGTGTGACACCTCACATTATTCTTCTTTCTGAAAAATCCCTCCTCCCTGCATGTGTAAATTATGTAAACTTTCCCAAATCTGAGATTGTTAGTTACTATGCCTTTCAGCTATCTTGATCGATCGATCAATCAATCAATCAATCAATCAGAATAGAGCTGGAAGGGATCCCGGAGGTCGTCCAGTCCAACCCCCTGCTCAAGCAGGAGACGCAACACCATCCCAGACAAGTGACTAAATTCCAGTCACAGGCAATCTGGAATTAAGGAGAAACGCCTAAATAAAGGAACGTTTTCCACATAAGCATAGAAGGAATTGTAGGTCAAGAAACTTTCTGCCCTTTGGGAGGAACAAATAGTGTTCCTGTTTGTAAAGGACCATTGCTATCAAACATTTCAGGGAAAAAGGAGAATGGTATTTTATGCATGAAATTTTCCAGGCTCTGACGGAAAAGAATTAGGTCAAGTAAATATGTTGCTATGCCTTTTTTTAATCTAGAAGCTTTGTTTCAAAGTTTGTTTCAAGTTTTGCAGATGCTTTTAACAATCAGGAAAATTTCAGCCAAAATCTACAGACAACGTATGGCTGCTCTCCTAAAACAACTCGATTATTGGCACAAATAAAAATATTCTAAGGGCTAATGTTAAGAAAAGCATAGATATATTTATTTCATTTATGCATACTTTCTCCATGAAGTGGACTCATGATGCTAAACCCATTGATATCAGTTGCTCTGAGGACTGAAATTCAGTAAACACTTCACTAATGGGTGTATCCTGGGGACAGTGTTGTTGCAACAGAATTATTGTCATAATTATTAGAAGTTGGTTGAATGTGTTACTTGCAGAGACCAGGACTTCTCCTCTTTCTGATAAGCCTACTTTATAGGAATATCTTTTGGCACATGTTCATCTAGCAACTTCATTTCATAGTATTAGTTTAGGACTTCAACATATTACTTCAAGGAATGATGGCTGCCTTAACAATCTAATTACTGGTTTACACATTAAGGCAATTAGTTAATAATGGCAAATACATACATTCTTAAGGTGGAAATAACTTGCCATTTCCTTTTTCTGGGATTTCTTACAATTTCCTGGTGGTTTCTTATCCACATAATTAGTCTAACTCTGCTTAGGAATTTGGAAGAAGTGGGGGAATCAGCCAAGGTCAACTACGTGCTGCCATTTGATACTAGCTTTATTTAGGCTGAATTTTTTTTAATAGCATTATCTGAGCTTTGGGATGCTCTCACACAGAAGTATTTTAAATATGTGAATATTTAATTGTAATGTACTTTTTGAGGCATTTTTACGTTGTTTGCTAAATTTAATTAGCATCATTAATACATGTCAATCTATAAATGTTATCATATACAAATAAATCGGAAATAAATAGCATGACACATCATCACCTACTATACTTTATAGCTCTAAAATTGTATAATCACTTCAACCATTTAACACCACCTTTATTTGGCAACATGACTTAAATTAGGAGAAATATTATGTCTGCAGTGCAAGGTAACTGGAGGCATGGGAAAAGCAAACTACTGTGTAAGGAAAGCAGGTCTAAACTTAGCATCTTTCCTGATGTGCTACTTTTATATGTATATGCAAGTATGACATTTACTTCAAATAAGAAACCATTTATAGTTTAAGCAAAAGGTTATACATTCTAATGCAGTCTAAATCTACCACAGATGCATTGGATAATTTTATTCACTATATAGCTTAGTTCTTAACCATGTGGAAAAATAATACAATAGCCAATATCGCATACACCAGTTTTCTTGGCACTGAGATAAAGAGATAACTAGGATCAATCCCTAGTTACAGAAGAACACACATTTTCATTCATCTGTAAGCTAAATTAGCCAAATATCTTCTGTTTTGTACTTGCTGTCTTGATATCATCTCTCCTGGGTAAAGCAGACAGGAAACACAACTGGATGAGCTAATTCTACTTTATTGTAAAGCTATATCTTGCAAGTCTGAAGGCAGAAACTTTCCACTACCACTTTCCACCACCTGAACAATCTTTATCTGATTGTTTCCTAGGCAGCATTTCCCCCTCTCATCCCTCAAAACTCATCTACACATTCCATTACCCTTGTCTATAAATGAATAAGCAACTTAACAGTGACAGGTTCAAAGGAACTAATCCAAATGTCACTTGTGAAAATGTTCCAGGCTCTTTCTCCAATTTTCAACTCATCGGTCTTTATTCATACTGTTATTTTGTCTCACATTGACTTGTATCTGGTTCAAAAATTCAGCCTAGACAAGAGGTTGTTTCAGGGTCAGGGTAATAAAGGTGAAAAATGGCAATGCTAGGGTGTATATTTTCTTTCCTTTTCTACTTCCCTCTGGCTACATCCTCATGTCCACAGATAGTTTTGATGATGTCATCATGCAAATGACAACTACATATTTGCATTGTGTTGCAAAAAGCTAGCTAGGTCACTTCATGTTTGTGATGAAGTCAACATATCTGTGTCCCTTTTGCCCTCCTCCACAGATACTCATGTCTCTCATCTGCTGAATGAATATGCTCCAGTCATCATTTTGTATATCTTGTCCTCATCATGTATCCTTTGTCTTATATCTGTATCTTTAAAGTCATATTGAGTTATTCCAGTTCATTTTCTCGTGGCACACTGTCATGCATTTTTTGATGTTGCAGTAGATGAAGCTCCTATTGGCCACTTCTAGGGCTTGGCGGGATATCATCCCCCACCTTGGTGACTGGAAATGATCCTCCACAACTTCTTGGCTTGGGATATAGGGAACCTGGCAGTGTCCTCATCATTTCATCATTGGCATGTCATGTCTGATCAGCACTTCCCAAAGGGCCCAATGGGTTTCAAACAGGTTCCTCTTTTGACAATGTGAAACCTATTTTTAAACTGATTTATCTAGACTGAAGGTTGATTTAAACTAGGAAAGAATGTAGGTTCTGCCAGCTGTGTTGCCAGTTCTGTCGCCCTTATATGAATTATTGGTTTTTGTTGCTTCAGGCAACAGGGCCATTCTTGTGGCCACACTTTTATTTTTATGATTTTGTTCTGCATATTCCCTTTTGGCTTCATAGCTGGCCTTTGGCTACTTTCAGGTACTGTTGGCCATCAGGACAGAACTGGACTTGTAGCCAGCACTGCCATTCTCTTAAGCCCTACTAGCCAGAGACAGAACTCCAGCATTATTGACCACCCTGCTTTCTTCCCATGGCACGCAATCTGTGACCTGTCAGTCTGTCAGTCAGGCAATTGACAGGTGCCATTCCAAGCTCCATCTCCCCCACCCACCCCCATACCATTTATTAAGAAGAGCAATTGCTTTTGGAGGAAAACAAAAGCAGGGAGGAAATCCATCCACCCTTCTCCAATAGTTGTCCCCCTTTAAAGCTGTAGCTGGCCGCGTTCCTCATTCATTCAGTGGCAGAGGAGGGCTCGACTATCTGGGCAGCCATTGCTACGTAAGTACACTTGTCTGCGAGTCAAGATCACTTCACCGCGCGGGCCATTTGTCTGCGCCCTTTGCCTTTGGAGCCCGCCGTCCTTTTCAGGCTCCTGGCGCTTCTCTGACTTCGCGGGCGAGTTTACGGGCTACTGAATCTGTAGCCACGTGGAAGCCAACGACACCGTGGAAGGATAGTATTCGGGAAAACGGGGGGAACGGCAGGCAGAGTTCAGGCGGCAACTGGATTCAAGCGGCTCTCGAGCTCTTCGAAGAACACACCCCGCGTGGAAGGAAGGTCTGCAGACGGAGGTTGGCCGAACCTGCTCCGGCGCCCGCCTTAATTCAGAAGGGGCAAACCGTGTCACGCACCGGCGGAGTGGTGGTGGTGATGGTGGGTAATGAAGAGGCACGACCAGCAACCCCACGGTCACCTGCTCCAAGGAGCCGAGGGAGGCGGAGCCTGAGGAAGAAGTCCCCTTCCGTTTTACAAACCAAAACGCCGAGCCAGCCGGAGAGATCCCGCGCGCCTCGGAGAGAGAGAGAGAGAGAGAGAGAGAGAGAGAGAGAGAGAGAGAGCGACAGCGTGCCGGCAGCCGAGCTCCGACTCTCAGAGCGCGAGTCACCCACGGGGAGGGGGGAGGGAGCGGAGAAGCGAGCGAGCGAGAGAGCCACGCTTAAGAAAGCTCGGGGAGTGTCCAGGAGGGGCTGAGGCGGAACAAGAGGAGCGGTGCTGAGGGAGTTCCACACATACACACCTTGAGTGGTGCCCAGACACCGCACGAGACGCACGCACGAGACGACACACACACACACACACGCAGACTCACACGCACATTCGCGCACGACTAGGCGAGCGCGGGCGTCTCACACACACCCCAGCGAGAGGGCGCGCGTGGAATCCGAGCTCTCAGCATCCAAGCCTTCCCCGCTTTGCCTCTCCCTGTCTCTGTCTGTCTGTCTGTCTGTCTCTCTGTGGTTCCTTTCCAGTCCCACGCGCTTTCTGGTCCTCTTGTCTCCCCTCCCCTTTCTTCCCCAGCCCTCCCACCCCCACCTCTTTGCTCTCAAACTCTGCCTCCCCGAGTCCTGAAAAAATGCCTGCCCGTGAAGCGAGGAGAGGGCATCGGGTCTGTAAATAAGAAGTGAGTACTCGTACAATGGCGCGTCTCGCTGGCTCGGAAAAGGAAAAGGAAAAAAAAAAATCCGGCTGGCTGGAAAAAAAAATGCTGCATGCTCCTTTGCTTTTGCCGATGCATCTTTGCTCTAGGGCAAAGGAAGCCCCCACCTACCCACCCACCCCGGTCCTACCTTCCTCATTGCAGGCGAACCCGTCTTGCCATGCCCTCCCCCCCAACTGCCTTTCTCTCCTTCCCCCACACCCTCCCGCCTCGCCATCCCTATTGCACGGGCCTCTTCCTGCTGCATGCAACACCTTGGTTCAAAAGCTCTGGGTTACACTTCATCTTTGTTGGAGGGGTGCTTAGCTTTGAGTGACGGGGGCAAGGAGGGGGGCAAGGAAGGGAGGCTTCTATTTTGAAGGCTCAGGCAAAAATAAGGTGATATTGTTATCAAAATAATAATAATAATGATAATAAAGATGGGGCTTTTCCCAACTCATTGCCTGCTATCCTTGTGGACATAGAAGGAAGATGTGCACTGGCGCTGTTGATTGGTTTCAAGAGCATCTCTTTGGGGGAACTGGTTTCTTATTAAAAAAAAAAATGAAGATGGAAGAATGGGGGTTTAATTTTGTTCCAGACATCCACAGGATTGGGAAGATTTATTCCTTGTTGTGTGTGTGTGTGTGTGTGTTGCCTGTGCGTGAAATGGAACCTTGAATCTTGGCTGGGTGGGAAAGCTAAAGGAAACAGGGAAGAGTGTGCAGTAGCACCAATTAGAACAGTGCAAGAGGAAGACACTTTATGCTGCCATCCAATTCCCATTGTTAGCTTAGCTGCATGCAGCTTCCTTAAAGGGGAGTGTGGATGAAGGCAACTTGGGAACTGCACTTACCCGGGATGCCAAGATTTCCTTGGGACTCTGGGCGCACATTGCCCCTGAAACAAGAGGAGGGCGCTATTGTTATCGCTATGATAAATCACTGTTAAAAAAAGAACAGGTGCAGGTGAATAGAGGAAGGTTTGTTGCACTAAACCTGGATTGCCTCCATTTTGGGGTGGGAAGATGGATGGAACAGGGTGACAACATACTTATGGACAGGAGATCAAAATGGTAGTTGTTGTGTCAAAGGATGATGAAATAACAGGATAGTTTGGAGTTTCTGCCCTTTGCCTGCTTTTCCTCCCATCACAAAATTCTCAAAATAAGCCACCATCCACTTAACATCTTTCTTTTTTAATCACTGCATTCCCAGGAAGTCCACAGGGCTTCACTGCTAGTACTGCAATTTAATTATTTGGTAGATTGCTTGGTTAAACTGCCAGACATTACCATTATCAGCTGAAAAGGATCTTACATGGAAGTCTCTAGGCAGCATCATTTAGTTACTGCCCTCAAATCAATGACTCTGGGATACTCCTCTGAAATCAGAGGAATTACTACTTTCCTATCTCTTGCGGTTGGAGGTGGTTGTAAGATTGCATTTCTGGGCTCAGAAGAAGGGGATTGTATCAGGAACCTTATTTTTGTGGCAAAACTTGTTCCAGAGCCATGATACTATAGAAATTAGGTACCAATAGAGTCACTTGTCCTAGGTTTGTAGAACTTGGGAAATATTAACTACTCGGTGTCATTGTGCAGTAAAGTCATAAAGAATATTCACCTGCAGCTTCTTCTACCTTCTGTCCTTCACTGTGGAGGAGAAAGCTCAAATTAACTATGCTTATTACATATTGTCTTTGTCTTCCAAGCTCATCTTCCTATACCTCTTTCAACATTTGAAGATGCTGCAAAGTTATAAAGAACATCCCGAAGAACATAGTTTGCATATGGTGATATATGGTGCATGCATGCACAATGTGTATGCATATATACACAAAAGTATCTCTTTTAATTAATATTCAGCAATTGGCAATATTAATATTCAGCATTGGCAATATTTAAAGTAGATCAGGATTTGGAAAGCAATGTGATAATCTGATAAAATATTAATTGGAAATTGTATCTTCAAATAATCAATATTACATCATTAGTTTACAGCCAGTAATTTGCATGATATTTGGGCAATAGATCTAGTAATAAGGTTACATGACAGTGTGGAATAGCAAATGTAATAATTTCATCACAACAGATTGCTGCAACCCTTGATCCATAATAAGTTCTTCAACAGGTAGACAAGTTCAATTCATTTCTAGGGCTACCATCTCTGAACTTAAATTAGAACAATTAGTAGTTTATCTTTCTCCTCATGTAGCAAGGAAAATACCAAGATAAACACTGACAGGTGTTTTAAAAATTAACATTCTGTTTCTTTTCCACCCCTTTTTATTAGTGGCGGCACCTGACCTGTTGGACCCCAAATCTGCCACTCAGAACTCCAAGCCACGGCTGTCATTTTCTACCAAGCCCACTGTACTTGCTTCACGCGAGGAAAGTGATACAACTATTAATGTGATGAAATGGAAGACAGTATCAACCATTTTTCTAGTTGTGGTTTTGTATTTAATTATTGGAGCTACTGTATTCAAAGCCCTGGAGCAGCCACATGAAACCAGCCAGAGAACAACTATTGTGATCCAGAAGCAACTGTTTGTGTCACAGCATGCCTGTGTGAATGACACCGAACTAGAAGATCTAATTCAGGTAATTTCCTATACTGAAATGGGTTCTCGCCATAGATTTAAATAAAACAGTGTTGATGTTCCTATTCCAGCTACAATGTGGTAGAACTGATATTTGGCACAAGAATTTGATTTATGTTGTAATGTATAAAAAGCATTGCTAATCCCAATTTGGTTACTAGGCTTGCATTCAACATAATCTTTCCATTAAATGCTACTCTTGTGTTTCCTAAATGGCTATTCATTGGCAGATGTAATCCAGTGTACTTCTGTTATATTGGGTCCATTGCAAACTAATTTACTTGGAAAACAAGACAGAAAATATTTCTGGGCAAAAGTGAGGGGATTTTGGTTTTAACAGCTCACTTTTTACTTGGATATTTATATTCATTCTTTACTTCTACTCTGCTACTTAGACTACCACTATTACATGGAAAACAGTGCCAATTCATTATACTAAGAGTCCCATATATGTTATTTTAAAATACTCTTGTGAAGTTTACATTATGTTCTCATGTTGTGATTGGATTCATCATAGAAACTTACGTTTTTCTTGTTTTTTAGAAACTTGTCCTCTGTTTCTACTAACCTGTCATCTTTTATGATTACTTTATTCTGCTTGAAAATATACCATGTTGAGGACAAGAGCTCAGTTGTTCATTCATAGCAAGATCAGTTTTGCTTCAGTAGTGGTGTTTCCTTGTATGATTGAACAGATAAACATTATTTCAGAACTTTTTTCAGAAAGATTTCTTGTTCCTAGTACATTACTAATGCACTATTTAGAATAAAATGGAATACTTTATTGGCAAAGTGTGATTAAACACACAAGGAATTTGTCTCTGGTGCAAAAGCTCTCAGTGTACATGCAAAGCAACAGAGTGATAATAATTATAATAATGATACCAGTAAGAGCGGATAGTAAAGAAAATGAGAAGGATAATAATACTACTACAGCCATACAACGTGGGGTTAATAATAAATAAATAAATAATATATATATATAATATGTATAATTTAGAATAGAATAGAATAACAGAGTTGGAAGGGACCTTGGAGGTCTTCTAGTCCAACCCCCTGCCCAGGCAGGAAACCCTACACCACTTCAGACAAATGGTTATCCAACATCTTCTTAAAAATTTCCAGTGTTGGAGCATTCACAACTTCTGCAGGCAAGTTGTTCCACTGATTAATTGTTCTAACTGTCAGGAAATTTCTCCTTAGTTCTAAGTTGCTTCTCTTCTTGATTAGTTTCCACCCATTGCTTCTTATCCTACTCTCAAAACTAGATGCAATATTCCAAGTGTGTCCTTACCAAGGCATTATAAAGTGATATTAACACTTCACATGATCTTGATTCTATCCCTCAGTTTATGCAACCCAGAACTGTGTTGGCTTTTTTGGCAGCTGCTGCAAACTGCTGGCTCATATCTAAATATATATAATTTATATCATTATAAAATGACATAAATAAAGCAAAATTTATGCATTATGCTTCAGCAAATTGGGAAATAGCTGCTTCAAAATGGGGAATAATTGGGTGAAGCAATAATTGCTGAATTTCAAGAGAAAAATAGATTGGTTGAAACATCTATCTATGATGAATCCAGGCTTCTTTTCCCTTCTTGCTAGAAAATTTCCCTAAGCAAAAGATACATCTAAATATTCTCAAATTCAATCAGTCCCCATCAATCCACATTCCAGAATGATTTTTTTTATATAACTTCACCTTTTGTGGATAACTGGTCATCCATGATCCTGATTGATCACTTTGAATTTTGCTGACATGGGTAAAACTACTCCCAAGATTAATTAAAAAAAGATTTAAGTCAGCTGCATTCCTAGATCAGTAGGCTTATCTAGCAGAGATATCCAGAGCTGTTAGCTACATTTTCAAGCAAAACAAATGTTACTATATAAAACTGACCGATATAGCTATTTAAACTTATCATGAATCTTAACCTTTGATGGCACTTAAAAGGTAACTTCTCTGTTCCTTGTCAACCACTCAAAGGACAAAACAAAATCTTTAAATCAGGAGTGTCCAATCTTGGCAACTTTAAGATCTGTGGACTTCAATTCCCAGAATTCCCCAGCCAGTCCCTACCAGCTGCCAATTCTCAGAGTTGAATGAGAGGATCAGATCTATCAAAGTACCCACCATCTCTATGCTGTGCTAACATAGTTGTGCCCTCTGGAACAAGATTCCCTCCTGAGATGTGGATAGATCTGGTGACCCCCCCCCCACTTCATTTGGTTTACCATCTTTATCTTTTATGATATTAGTTTAATTAATTTGATTGTTGTGAGCCACCCACAGCTGTTCAAGGTTGGGCAGCAAGGAAGTTTAATAAATATTATGTACCCAACAATGTGAAATCCCAGCTGCTGTGATTTCTTTAGCTGTGTTGTCCTTTATAAGGATCTTCTCAAGAACTTAGATTGTGGTAATGTATCATAATATATCCAAACAGTGTGGCCTTTTTAAATTGACAGATGGAAATTTTGTCCATGTGCAGATCTTCTAAGGTTTTTTTTGTATGGCACCTATTGTGTCATCACAGGACCCACCACAGGATCAACTGTCTAGTGTATTTGCCATAATCTTTCAACTTTGATTTTCAGAGCTTGATACTTAGTAATCCTTTCTGATTCTTTGTTTTTTATTATACTATATCCTGGTATTACCACATCAATCATCCACACTTTTTTTTCCAAACACAGTTAAATCGGGTGTGCTATGTGCCAAGACTTTTATCAGTTTGTCTTTGGAAAGCCTACAATAGTGATGGCTAACCTTTTTGCCACTGCGTGCCAAAAGTGGGGGTCATGTGGGGGGTCGCACTTGTGCGTGCCCACACCCAAAATTCAATGTGCCCTGCCCCCAGCACAGGCCTTCCCTGCGCTCCCACGCTTTTGGCACATGATGGCATGGTGGGCCCAGTAGGCCCGTTTTTCGCCCTCCCCAGGCTCCAGAGGCTTTTTTGTAGCCTGGGGAGGGTGAAAACGGCTTTCCCCACCCCTCCAGAGGCCCTCTGGAGGCCAGAAACAGCCCATTTCCTGACTTCCGGTGGGCCCGGAAGGCCTGAAAATCAGGTGGCCAGCGTGCGCATGCATGCTGGAGCTGAGCTAGGGCAATACTCGCATGCCCACAGATATGGCTCCATGTGCCACCTGTGGCACACGTGCCATAGGTTCGCCATCACAGGCCTACAATATTCTAATTTGCTAATTTTTAACCATTGTTTCAACTATATGTTCCTACCATTTTTTGGTTACTGGCACATGATGCTTTTTATAGATGTTCCAGTAAATAATTTTGGCAACTGTGGCATTATCATTAATATTATTATGGTTGATCACAGAGTCAGTCAGATGTTTAGATTGGATTTGGTATTCAATCCACCTATCAAGTCCTTCTCAAGGACCCGTGATCATCAGATGTTATTTGATGGTGTTAAAGATACCATTGCATAATGTAAAGCAAAGTTGCATTTTGAAATTGAATGATAAGGATTCTGTCAGTGCTGATGGTATTCATGTAGTGCTCCAAATGATTTGGGATTGTACCCAAGATACCTATTATTATCGGTACTATCTTTGCTTTCTTTTGCCATTGTCAGTCTACTTCTATTTTTTCTCTTCTGTTCTGCTGTCCCCAGGTACTGTCATGTCAGTTATCCAGACTTTTTTTTGCCTTTCTTAACTTTATTAGGTTTGGGGTATTATGAGGCAGGTGCTTGTCTGGTTGTATTCTAAGTCCCAGACTTCGCATTTTCCATTTTCTATTAAGTTTCTTTATTTTGTGGTCCCACCAGTTCTTGCTTGCAAAGAACAGTATTTCTTGCAGATATGAAAGAAATGCATCATTGTTGCTACTTTGTCAGGTCTTTGTGGTCAGTCTGTGTTATCTTCTTGGAATGGCTAACTATGTGGTCCACTCTCTTTTCAGCTTTCTTTTTTTTTTAGAGGTGGCATTTACTGTCTGTTGCTGTCTTCTTGCATAGATGTGTTCTTAAGGGTTGGCCTTATACAGCCATAATTAGCCCCTCTTCAACTCTCCTGCTCTTAGCCATTGCCAGGTCTTGTTATCTGCTTTGCCCACTGGTTTTTTTTTTTAATGCACTGGCAATATAATACTGTACCTTGCCATGTCTCTTTCCTATTCTGCAGTTGGTCTTTCTTGTAGGCCAGTTTGGTCTCTCCAATACTCACCAATCCTTCATGGTATATTAGCTTCAATGCCACTTCTTCACTGTCCTTCAGATATTCTCCCTATGCTCTTTTTTCTTGTTCAACTGTCTGGGTGTATTTGCAACATTACTACTTTATTGTTATGTTATTATTATGGTTGATTGCATAGTCAGCGACATGTTTAGACTGCATTTGGCATTTTTATTCACTTATCGAACCCTTCCCAAGGATCTGGAATTATAATATAATAATAATAATATATTATGGTTTGTCAATTATTAATATAAACCCTGAGATTGTCATCTATAGGGGGTTGACATAATTACCCCCTTCTCTGAAATAAAACCCACCCAGATATTCTAAAGGCACTTTTGTCAATGTCTGTAAAGTTTGATTTTTCTATTAAGTTTTGGAGGCAGAGTTGTGCCTGTTGTGCGTGTTGTGACTGATCTTCTACATAAGTTATTCTATGGTTCTGTATGGTTAGACTTCCAGTTTATGTATAGTTATATTATAATCTACATTTTTTTAGTTTTGATATTGATTATGTTGCTGATTACATTATATTTATCTTGTTTATTTATTTTCCCAAGGTTTGAGAGTTGGGGGAATTTACACTCCTCAGAGCTGATGTGGTTAGAATGTTTAAAAGTCCTGTAAAATGAATGAGCAAATGAATGGATGAGTGTATGTTATCCAGGAAGGCAGTGTCTACCTGTTTGATTCAAATAATGCTGTCCAGCTTAACTGCTCTGCTTCTTTTCATTGTAGGCAAATGACTCTATTCCATCTGATTATGGTGCTCTGCAGGAATGCCTCTTCCCCCTC